TATCTCTCATAGTCATTAGATAGTTTATTTCTTCGCCTTTTAAAAAAAGTCAATTTTTTATAATTTTTTTATTGCTTTAATAGGTTTTAATTTTAGGTAATTAAATCAATGTTAACGGTGTCTGTTACATTTTGGTGGCACATATCGAAATATATATTGACGTTTTACATCGAACGATCATTGATAAGATACTGTTTTTCATTGCCTTGTCCCTTAGGTATAAATTTCAGAATAATATCAAGTAATGATATTTTACTTATAAAGACAGAGGGGAGCACCTCATACCACACGGATTTTTGTGGCGTAAGTGGTGTCCCACCATGTTGGTACCTATCTGAATTTTTATTGAATACAAAAAATATGTACTAAAACATTAATAAATTAATTGTTGAATATGGCCTCCATTTTGTTCAATACATGTATGCAGACGCATTAAAAAATTTGTAAATGCATTTTGCAGCATTTCTGGGATAATTGTATTAAACACATGAATTATATTATTCAGTTAAGTTTGTAGGTGTTGGATCGTAGCATCTTTCCTTAACATACCCCCATATAAAAAAATATGGTATAGTTAAATCCGGATAATATGGAGCCCATTCGATGGGACCAGCCCAACCTATCCATTTATCTCCAAAGGTTGAGTTCAAAGAATTCCTGGCTACAAGAGAGTAATGCGGTGGAGCACCATCTTGCTGGAAATATACAGTATTTAGTATTTCTTCTTGTTCTAGTTGAGGATAAAAGAATAGTTCTAGCATATCCGTGTAATTGTTTCCATATACTGTTTCATCTTGAAAGAAAAATGGTCCATAAATTTTAGTTTTGGACACACCTCACCATACATTTACCTTGGGAGCATCTCTTTCAAACTCGTTGAAAGCTCTAGGATTTTCGTCACCCCAAATCCTACAATTGTGTTTGTTTACGCGTCAACTTAAATGAAACGTTGCTTCATCTGAAATTATTAGATTGATGTCTAAATAAATCTAATAACGTCTCACACATAAAAACTCTCTTTTCAAATGCATGATTTTCAATTTTATGAAAAGTCTGAACCTTATATGCTTTAAACTTAATTACTTTTAAAATTTTATGCACGTTACTCTTTGACATATGTATGGATTGGGCAATTTTTCTAATAGATATTTTATTATTGTTTCTTGCTAAAATTTGCCTTATCTGTATAACATCATTTAAAATAATATCTTGAGCGTTTTCAATTTGTCTTTTTTTTTTTCTATCTAATGTTCCCGTTTCTTTAAACTGACTTACTTAGTTTAAAATAGAATTTCTGGTTGGCGAATTTTTTTCAAACATATTTCTAAATCTTCTTTGTGTATGTGTAATTTTTTTCTATATAAAGTAAAACGCACCAAGCTTTTTCACTTTTGGTAAATATTTTTTAATACCTGCTTTCTCTTGCACTTATTAATACAAATATAGACTTCTGTCAACTCGATTTGTTTTACATAGCACCCTTGAAAAATTAGTAGTATCATTTATTGACTCATTCATATTCTATCCAAAGCTGAGTAAGGTAATTTACAAAAAGAGGAATATCAAATAGACAAAAAAAAACAGATATAGGTACATATTGAAAACGCTTAAGACATTCTTTTAAATGATGATTTATGGATAAAGGCTTGCAAATAAACGTTACAAATACGAAGAATTTTATTCATCATAAGCCCTTAATCTGAATTGGTAAAAGTAATCTTTTACGAAAATGTTAGACATTTGAGACTTTACAACCATTTTATAAAAAAATTAAACATTTCCCAGAATTTTAGTCAAAACCTCTTATCAATAAATTGTCACATTATCGAGTTAAAGGCCTTTAAATTGTGATACTTTACGTTTAGAAGTTATCGACATTGTTTCATAAAAAAGTAAATTTTTCCCAAAAAAATTGAATAAATGCTTACAATGAATACATTTTTGGAAAGGGAAAGAAATGTTCTTTCTGAGAATGTTAAAAATTATAGGGTGTTCTATTTAAAATAAGCTCACAATTTTTATTCAAAAAAGTTCGTTTTTTTTTTCGGCACTTTCCAGAAAAAAATTACATGTGACAACAATGTCAAGAAAAAATTTGAAGTAAATATAAAAGATCTAGTGAAAACTGCATCTCGATATCTTTTTCCGTTTTCGAGTTATAAGTTGTTAAAATTTGTCAATTTATAGATGGTATTGTAATAAGTAATAAGTATATTGTATTATATTGCATTCTATTTGTGTTATTTTTGTAAGAATGTTTAAGTATTCTTTAATATTTTCGTGGCTTTTTCTCAATATTCATTTGTTTTCTATTATAATTTTTACTTAGCTACTTCTAAATAGTAAAATAAAATACTTTTCCTGTTATTATATGTTATATTACAACCTATAAGGAGAATTACTTTTGTAATTTAATAATTTTATTTTTAGATACCACTTTTTTATTTTTACTTATTATTAAGAATATTGTCCTGTAAATGGGAAACTGTTGGGCAATAAAGCTATTATTATTATTATTATTAAACTTATAATTAATTTTATTTTTAGGCGACTTCGAAATATTTTTAGCGATAATTCTTTACTACATTGTCCGATTTCTATGAAGCTTGTATTATCAACAATAAAAAATCCCTTTGCAAGTAATTTTTGTCGTCCTGTTTTGCTACTTCCGGTGGAGGAATTTTGGCCACGTGATAGGGTATTTGTGTTTTTCAACAAAATTAGGTATATAGGTTAAACGTGTTTCTTGAATTTAAGATGATACAGCAAGCATTTTTGTGTATCAGCGAAAGGATGATGGACAAAAAAATCAATATTTATTTGTTTTCTATTATAGTTTTTACTTGGGAAACTGTTGGGAAATAAAGCTATTATTATTAAACTTATAATTAATTTTATTTTTAAGCGACTTCAAAAAAGGAGGAGCTTCTCAATCCGTCGAAATACTTTTAGCGATAATTCTTTACTACATTGTCCGATTTCTATGAAGCTTGTATTATCAACAATAAAAAATCCCTTTGCAAGTAATTTCTGTCGTCCTGTTTTGCTACTTCCGGTGTAGGAATTTTGGCCACGTGATAGGGTATTTGTGTTTTTCAACAAAATTAGGTATATAGGTTAAACGTGTTTCTTGAATTTAAGATGATACAGCAAGCATTTTTGTGTACCAGCGAAAGGATGATGGACAAAAAAGCTTGTAACCTGGCAAAACGTGACATGTATGCAAATAAGAAAATTTAAAAAATATGTAGACGAATGATTATCTAATGCATTTTGTAATTATATATTCTTTAATAATTTTTTTTAATATAATTGTTGGGCAAACGTGGGCTTAAAAAGTATGAAATAACTGGCAAATAATGGGCAATGTTATTACAAATTTTTACTCCATTTTTGCTTTTTTGTAGTCCAAGTTTGCGGATTACGGATCTTAATGGTCTATATACCTTACAACAAAATTTACATCGAAATAAAAAAATTTAAAAAGTACTTACATGAAAATAAATATTTCATATTTTACAGAAAAAAGTATATTTTTAAATTCGAAATAATTTGACGAATTTTTTATTAACTAATTTTTAACAAAAAATTGGCAAATTTAAGACACCTAATCTAAATCGATTTTTTTCAGTCTCTTAAAATACTCAGTTCGGCAAAATTTTGTTATGTTGTGTATGGTATTGTTTTTTGAGTTGGAAAAATGGGCAAATTTTGTTAAGCCGGACCTGAATTTTAATTAAGGTTATTATAGTATTTGAGATAATTATGTGATAAATTTAATATTTTTAACTGAGTGGTTTGTTGAGTAAAAATTTAGACCAAATCCTTAAAATACATTATATCTAGTTAATGACATATGATAGATAATTTCAAATCATCCAAGTATCTGACATCTACAGGAAACTTATGTACATTTTAATCTGAAATATATTACCTACAGAAATGAAGACATTTTAAAATAAAAATAATATATTTTCAAATTAACTGGATAATTCACATGTTACAGTTTTATAAATAGGACCATTTTGCATATAAATTTGTTATATTAAATAAAAACTTACCACATAAGAGAAAGAACCAAAACAAAAACTTTCGCCAACTTGCATTAAGACACATCTCAACGGTTAATTAAAACACTGCACTAATCCATGCGAAACACTTTATTTCAACACGAAAACAGACCAAATATAGTTAAATCGCCAACCACTAAAACACCTTTAAATTTAAATACAGTTTATTATTAATTTAAATTTAAAAAAGTATCAACCAAATTTAAGATTGTTACAAATAAATAATTGTAGTTAAAATTATAAATAGTAAACAAAAAAGTTTAATATCCGACGTAATTCTTTTGCAGGTTAAAAATGTCAGTTTTTTTATATTCCACTATCCGGAAAAAACGTAATTGAATAATGTGATTTCTCTTCAAAAGTCAACCGGCGCGACACCCTCTCAATTTCGATAAAAACAATCCAAAAACTCTAGCACCAATTCAACTCAGTTCAAAAAAAAACCGACGACCAACTTGCGTTCGCTCTATTTTCGAAACACGCGCTCAATTTTCGAATTTTCGTTCGCGTAGTTGCGACGTGCAGCGGCAACGCGACGACAATAAAGCAATGGCCCGCTATCGGCGGTTCTTCGGGCAGACAACGGCAGTTGTAATGCGGATGCGGAGGATCGCATGGTACGCGGCGACGGGATGTCGTGCGGCACGAGAACGTCGCGATGCCGACGACGCAGCCGCCAACGGCACCGCATAACTTTGCTTGCTACGATCAGTCGACTAAATGATTTCCGAGGAGTAGGTCATGGTAAGGAATTAGGCGTAAAGTTTTGGGGATTCCCATGCGGCACTGCGTGGAGTATGGTCAGTGAACGGTGACCAATCGGCAAATTGCAAAAATGAATTAGTGTCTAGAAAATCCAGTCTTAATAAATTTATATAGAAAATAATTCGACGCCTATAGCGCAGAGTGTTGTAATTCATTTTTGGTAAAACTAGCTGCGAAACCCGGCGTTGCACGGGTTAAAATATACACCGCATGTTTAATGGTGTAAAAAATACATGAAGACACATTTTTAATGTAGATATTATAGATTCCTATCTTAGATATTAAAACTTATTCGACCATTAAACTTACGGTATATAGAGTATTTCTTATAGACTAATAATTAGTGAATCGAAATAATGTCAAGAAAGAATTTAGTAAATATAAAATTTTTCGTTTTATTTATATAATTGTCCATACATCATATCATTCATATACAGATTACATGAAACATTATACATTAATACTATTACATATTTACATTTGTTATTTTAGTTTTTTTTTTTTTGTTTTAAATTTATCTTTATAATATTTGCTTATACACTACATTTATAGTTCTGTTGTTTGGACTGTAAATAAATAAATGTTGAAATGATCCAACTCGTGAGCATGCGACATATGTGAGCATGTGCAAAGCATGGTTCCTTTAAGTCAACGCCACAATACTGAAATATTTGACCCTGTGCTTTATTCACAGTAATACTGTAAGCCAACTTTACCGGGAATTGTAACCGTTTAAAAGTAAAGGGCAATCCATTTGATATTAAAGGTATTCGTGGTATAAATACTGTCTGTCCTTTCTCTTTACCAGTCATTATACTGGCTTCGATGATGTTATTCTGTAATTGTTTGATGCAAAGTCTCGTACCATTGCACAGTTTCGACGAGTTCAGATTTCGTAATAAAATAACTGGTGAACCAATTTTTAATTTAAGACAGTGTAATGGCATTCCTGGAACATTTAATGAATTCAAAAATTCAGTAGTAAAATTAACGCTTTCTCCCTCATCAATCATTGTATCAGATGACGTGTAAATTTTCTCTTCTCCTGGAATCATTCCCTGGATGATGTTGTTGATGTCGTTGACAATGTCGTTCTTTGTGGCTAGAATAATTCGTTCACGTAACCATTCTGAATGAATATAATTTTCAGCAATATTTGGATATACTTCATTTATAAGTTGTTTGGGTGTTTAAACAACATTACATAACTCGTTAGTTAGTACTATGAATTTTCTGGATCGTTTCGAAATAATAACCGATATTATTAATTTCGGAACTTTCTAGATCATTCCAGAAATTTTTAGAATTTTCTGAAACGTTTCAGAATGATAATAACCAATATTATTAATTTTGGAACTTTCTAGATCATTCCAGAAATTTTTAGAATTTTCTGGAACGTTCCAGAATGATAATAACCAACATTATTAATTTCGGAACTTTCTAGATCATTCCAGAAATTTTTAGAATTTTCTGAAACGTTCCAGAATGATAATTAATAGAAATTTTTATTTAATACAATATTTAGATGCACATCACTTACATTTAGCTCTTTTAGATCGATTATCATTATACTCATACACATTTCGGACCTTTCTCGATTATTATAGAATTTTTATGAACTTTCTGGAACGTTCAAGAATGAAAATAACCGATTTTACACATTTTTAAACTTTCTAGAATATTCCAGAAATTTTTAGAATTTTCTGGATCCTTTCAGAATGATAATAACCGATAATATTAATTTCGGAACTTTCTAGATCATTCGAGAAATTTTTAGAATTTTCTGGATCGTTTTAGAATAATAATAACCGATATTATTAATTTCGGAACTTTCTAGATCATTCCAGAAATTTTTAGAATTTTCTGGATCGTTTCAGAATGATAATAACCAATATTATTAATTTCGGAACTTTCTAGATTATTCGAGAAATTTTTAGAATTTTCTGGATCGTTTCAGAATAATAATAACCAATATTATTAATTTCGGAACTTTCTAGATCATTCCAGAAATTTTTAGAATTTTCTGGATCGTTTCAGAATGATAATAACCAATATTATTAATTTCGGAACTTTCTAGATCATTCCAGAAATTTTTAGAATTTTCTGGAACGTTCCAGAATGATAATAACCAATATTATTAATTTCGGAACTTTCTAGATTATTCGAGAAATTTTTAGAATTTTTTGGATCGTTTCAGAATAATAATAACCAATATTATTAATTTCGGAACTTTCTAGATCATTCCAGAAATTTTTAGAATTTTCTGGATCGTTTCAGAATGATAATAACCAATATTATTAATTTCGGAAATTTCTAGATCATTCCAGAAATTTTTAGAATTTTCTGGAACGTTCCAGAATGATAATAACCAATATTATTAATTTCGGAACTTTCTAGATCATTCCAGAAATTTTTAGAATTTTCTGGAACGTTCCAGAATGATAATAACCGATTTTACACATTTTTGAACTTTCTAGATCATTCCAGAAATTTTTAGAATTTTCTGGATCGTTTCAGAATGATAATAACCGATATTATTAATTTCGGAACTCTCTAGATCATTCCAGAAATTTTTAGAATTTTCTGGAACGTTCCAGAATGATAATAACAGATAATATTAATTTCGGAACTTTCTAGATTATTCTAGAAATTTTCAGAACTTTCCCGAAGTTCTAATGAGTTAGAAAAGAACAGATATATATCTTATCACATTTTTGCCTCCCACAACCACCCATTTCCACCCACCGCGCCCAAACTCCCTTACTTCCTTCTAGGACCCAAGGGGTGTTTACCACCCCAATGGTAATGTTGTTGAAGTTGGTGGTGATAAAGAAAACCGGTCACACACATATTCCACGCTAGCATTTTATATATATATATATATATATATATATATATATATATATATATATATATATATATATATTGAAATGATAACACCCTATATTAAAATATAATAAAACTAAAAATAATAACATTACTAATAATAATAACTATAATATAATAATAACATTAATAAATAAAAATAATGTGGGAATATGTACCCTGTATATTAAAAATTGATATGAGAAAGTCATAAGTGAAGGAGACTTTGGGAAGGTAATAAGGATGGGGTTTCCAGGTTGTGGAGATTATTGATTGTCAATTTTGAAATTTAGAAAAAAAAAAAATGTCAAAAATTTTGGTAGTAGAAATTTATTTTTAGAAGATATGGTCAAGACGAATTAAATAACTGATAATACATACTGAATGAGCAAATTTATCTAACCAAACACGTATAGTTAAAATTAGTAAGGTGTAATGATAGTTATAGAAAAATATATAATGGTTTTCCGGCGAGACATATACAGAAGAAGGAAGAGAGGACAAATAAGTCGTAGAAAGTAGAATACCGACTAATGAAAATAGACACTTTATAAGATAAAAAGTGAGTAATTTTTATAAACTAATTCAAGAAATAAGTAATTGTGTTTGAAAAGACATTGGTAGTTGTTAATTTTTTTATATAATTTAATTTTAGTAAATAGTTTTGTTAGTATGAATGAAGAGTGAATGAATATAGAGTAGTTTTAGTAATATAGTAATATAACCCCCATGAATTTAAGTAGCGGGGCATTTTGTTGATTAAAAATTTGATACTGTGTCTAAAATAAATCGTGTGTTTTGGTTTGAAAATTTGTTTATTTATTTAGTTGGATATACAGGGTATAGAACAAATTAAGTCATATAATTTAAAATTTTTTTGTTGATTATTGATTAAAATAAAATTAAAATAAAATTAAAATAAAATTAAAATAAAATTAAATAAAATTAAATAAAATTAAAATAAAATTAAAATAAAATTAAATAAAATTAAATAAAATTAAATAAAATTAAAATAAAATTAAATTAAATTGAAAAAGTAATAATAATATAATTTGAAGCACCCCTGAGATAAAAAATAATAATAATAATAAAAAAAAAAAAATACTTTAATTAAAATAAAAAAATAAAAATGGTATTGTGTAATATCATTACAAATGGCGCCCAACGTGGGGCGTTAAAGCTGTCAAACTGACGTATGATATAAGTCATATTTGATAGTAATACAGTAATATAGTTATTATTAAATTTGTAAATCAAAAATATTAAAATATAAAAAAAAAAATCTGTGAATAAATATAAAACATAAAATAAAAACTTTAATATTATGGAAAAGATGGAAGAAAGCAATAAAGAAAAAAATGAAGAGAAACAGAAAGAAGAAGAAGAAAGGAGAACAAGAAATACAATAGGAAAAGAAAGTAGTAAGATTGAAGAGATGAGTGTATCCGAAATGATCAGAATGATGATGGGAAAGATGACTAAAATGGAGGAAAACATTCAGAAGATAGATGATATAAAAGAAGACATGAAAGAGTTAAAACAAGTAAAAAAAGAGATGATTAAGAAATTAGACGAATTCAAGATAGATTTAGAAGATAAAGAAGAAACAAAGAAGAAAATAAAAGGAATAGATATAGAAGATATTAAAAAGGACGTAAAAATAACAGAGGTTGAAAATTTGCAAGAGGAAAGATTTGAAGTATTTGAAAGAAAAGAAACAGAATTTAAAGGAGAAATAAGAGAAGAATTAAATAAAATAGAATTAAATAGACAGGATGATGTAGAAAGGATGATTAGTTTAGAAAATAAATGGATGAATACTATTACAAAAATCGATACTAAAATGGAACAGAATGTAAAAGAAATGGAACAAAGAATATTAAAAGGAAATAAGATGGGAACAAGAATTAATAATAACCAAAGGAGAAATAAAAATAAAGAAAAAGAAATTGCTAAAATTATATGGGAAAAAATAGGAAGATTAAGAAGAAAAATTAAAAATAGAATTTTGTCTGAAAAGGAAAAGACGAGAAATAAATTTAAAGAAAAGCAGAGATGTTAAAACAAAAGGACAATGAAAAAGGAATAGGTGACTAGGATAAGAAAAGGACTATGAGCTTACGAAACATGAATTAATAATTAGTAAATATTTAGAATGGTTTAGTAAAATAACAGATTAGTGAAATTAGAGATAAAGAATTAAAGAATTTATTAATAGTGGAATAATAATTGCAGAATAAATGAAAAAAATAAAAGATAATAATAATAATAATAATAAAAAAATAATAAATTTAAAATAAAAGTATAAGGAAATTTGCATTTGAAATTTTACATAAATGAAAAATTTCAAATGTAAATTTGGGAAGTTGAAATGATAACACCCTATATTAAAATATAATAAAACTAAAAATAATAACATTACTAATAATAATAACTATAATATAATAATAACATTAATAAATAAAAATAATGTGGGAATATGTACCCTGTATATTAAAAATTGATATGAGAAAGTCATAAGTGAAGGAGACTTTGGGAAGGTAATAAGGATGGGGTTTCCAGGTTGTGGAGATTATTGATTGTCAATTTTGAAATTTAGAAAAAAAAAAAAAATGTCAAAAATTTTGGTAGTAGAAATTTATTTTTAGAAGATATGGTCAAGACGAATTAAATAACTGATAATACATACTGAATGAGCAAATTTATCTAACCAAACACGTATAGTTAAAATTAGTAAGGTGTAATGATAGTTATAGAAAAATATATAATGGTTTTCCGGCGAGACATATACAGAAGAAGGAAGAGAGGACAAATAAGTCGTAGAAAGTAGAATACCGACTAATGAAAATAGACACTTTATAAGATAAAAAGTGAGTAATTTTTATAAACTAATTCAAGAAATAAGTAATTGTGTTTGAAAAGACATTGGTAGTTGTTAATTTTTTTATATAATTTAATTTTAGTAAATAGTTTTGTTAGTATGAATGAAGAGTGAATGAATATAGAGTAGTTTTAGTAATATAGTAATATAACCCCCATGAATTTAAGTAGCGGGGCATTTTGTTGATTAAAAATTTGATACTGTGTCTAAAATAAATCGTGTGTTTTGGTTTGAAAATTTGTTTATTTATTTAGTTGGATATACAGGGTATAGAACAAATTAAGTCATATAATTTAAAATTTTTTTGTT